ATCAGACATAATCCATTTTAAAAAAAAATTAATCAAGATGTTAGGTTTAAACGACGTTCAAATTTCAAGTTATGATTGAGAGATGCCACCCCTTAATTGAGTCAAGGAAGTTGCTCGTTATTCCGTTCTTTTTTGGTAGTGCTTCAAAAGTAGTGATGGGATAAATCGACAAATTCCGTTAGTGACTAATCTAATAGCATTCGCACATGGCGCACAAATTGATTTGAGAGGGAATGAACAGAGGCAAGTCAGCTTATTTGTTAAGAAGATTTGAGAAGAAAAAACGTGCATTAGATAAATATGAGACTAGGATGAATATTAGTTATCAGCTGTGGCGTGTGAATACTTTGAAGCGCAATCTTGGGCTGAAAATAATCCGACATTACGTGATATTGACGTCTCAAGTTTACAGTGGTGACGTCATCAGCTTTTGTGTTCCAGCTTTCGAATTAAATCGGTCAACCCACTGATATTGCTGATCAACATGAGATTAATTTGTACGTGAAATATAGCTGGATTTCTCAGCTCGAGAAACAAAAATATGTCTGGATTTCTCAGTTCGAGAGAGAAATTGCATGGCTGATAATGTGATGAAACGTCGATATTATCTGGTTTTAATGGAACCCGACGATGTTTAGGACCTTAATTTTTAAAGATTCTGTATTATTCAAATGAATTGGTATATGCAACTGTTTGTACGTAACGGCGGCATTGGGGCTTTAAGGATATCAAAGATATTTAAACCAGCCTCCTGATATTTCTTTTCATTTTTGTCCCCCTTTTTAATGTAAAAACAACCTTTGGAAATAATTTTTGCAAACTGAATATCTTGTAATGTGTTTTAATATTATTTGTCTTGTTTCAATGGATGAGTGTGTATCAAAAGTGTTCCGAAATGTTTGCAACGTAAACTTTATGGGGTAATGGGAGATGGCGATGATTATGGTAGGGTTGTGGCTAATTTCTATACAGTTAACTGTTACATAGGAGGAAAAATGCATAACTGTATTACCAATTGAATTATAATATAATATTTTAAAGGCTTTAATTGTTCAGGGACTATTTACTAAGTTACTAAGATATTTACTAATTAGTTGAAGATGGTAAAGTGAATTTCCTTTGTTTACAATAATATTTTTACAATAACATTTTGTAATTACTCTTCATGCATCGGATAATTGATAACTGTCCTTATTGCATAAAATATTTACTAATTAGCCTTCATACATTGAACATTTACTAACAATCCTTCAAGTAATGGACTTTTATTAATTGGCCTTCATACATTGGACAGTTACTAACAGGCCTTCATGATTGGACTTTTATTAATTGGCCTTCATACCCTGAACAGTTAACAGGTCTTCATTCATTGGACTTTTACTAATTGGGCCTTCATACATTGGACATTTACTAACAGGCCTTCATGCATTGGACTTTAGTTAATTAGCATTCATGCATTGGACTTTAGTTAATTAGCCTTTACGCAATGGACATTTACTAATTGGCCCTCATGCATTGGACTTTATTTAATTAGCCTTCATGCACATGCCAGCAAAGTACGGGCATATAGAGCTTGACAATGAGAAAGAGTAAAGGAAGAAATGGTTAGAGAATAAATTAATGAATGAAAACCATAAAATAACCAATTACCATATTTTACACCTTTGGTATTCCATAATCAGATAACAAACGGGTGGGAGCTGTGTGAAATGATACATATAATTCAAAATGGATATATAAGCAGGAGTGGTGGGTTCAGATGAGAAAGAGGGGCGGGGTTGTGGGTGAAGGGTGGGATGAGGCGATGATCATTGTGTGAACGTAAGTCTAATCTTTAACCATGTATGATCCTTAAGGTTTCTATAGATACAAATAAAAATATTTATTGTTATTCTATTGGTATGCAGTTGTCGCGATACATCTCAACAAAAATGTTTACTAAACCAGTTTTAACTTTTCAAAAATTAAGTTTTATTTTACTTTTCCTCGCAACCAAACGATTCGAGTATTAGTAGAGAGCGTACTGTTGGCATGAGCAGAGACAATATCTTTTGAAAATATTGAATCAGGAACGGAAGGAAGTCTTGGTTCTAATTTTTGTTACAAAAAAGGAACTCGAGGCAGTTGAAAACCAACTGCAATTTAGTTTTCATTTAATGGCTAAATTTCAAATCTTATTGACATAATCTTGTAGATAAGTCAGTTTTCAGTACCTTACACAAATAGCTTATTACAAGAGCTTGGCTATGAATTTGGTAAATTTACATTCATAAGTATTTAATTCCAGTTAGGAATTAGAATTAGAATGAATTACCTTCCGCAAAGCAAGTCTGCAGTCACAGAATTTTGTCCCCATTTTAAGACAGGCTCATAACAAAAAGAATTAGGTCTTCATAATAAATTATTCATTTCCTTTTTTAATGACGATACTTGCATGAATGTTTGTCCAACCATATCCTTGTTGATACCTGTAACATTAAAAGAACAAATGATTATTTCCCGTCACAATAAATACATGTTCGGCGATGACCGTAACTTGCCTACCAGTCGTATTCCGTCGGATGGAAGTGGTCGCTACAAAGTGCAAGACTGTAGTAATCGACATATTTGGTTCTAAATTCAAATTTGAATAATTGGTTCAAGTTAGAAAGGAACATTACACTTAGGTATTTACACATTATTTCATAAAATTATTTGGTCTCTTGAAGACAAATGTCTCATTATAATGCCAGGAAATATATTTTTAAAGAAAAATGACAAGATAACCATGAAAGTTTACAAGTTTTCTTCTTTTTTTATATTCAGCAATTTTCTTAAATTGAAGAAAATTTTCAAATGAATAAATTTAGTCATCTATTTTTATCTATCTTTTGCTCTATGTACGAATTAATCGCATGTCTAATGCAAGAAAATCATGCCTGCTGGTGTGTGCTCGTTCACTATCTGTCGCACACCGGAGTCGGTAGAAACAAGATCCTTATTATACATTACAAGACCAGCAATATAATCAACTATGTGTTTTACTTTCCATCATGATGAAGCCAGAACTTTCAAACAGTTTTCGAGCAGTACGGATAACTTTTTTAAAAAAGTTTTCCGAGGACAACATTTTTCCTTAATTACTTATTGCAGAACGATTTTACTGGTTATCCTTAGTTAAATTTATTCAGTTTTCTTCTCTTGGAAATTATTGGTATAAAACAATTTTTTATATACTGAATTGATCCTCAATGTTGGACAAAAGTACCTTCACAATTCATCAAGTTTTATCAAAAAATACAAAACAATACAAAACAACAAGAAGATAAAGAAATGCCCTCAACAGTGACCTTAAGGTAAACTTAACCCAGTACATGGATAAGGGTAACACATGCCCTGTCTACAGCTGTGGTGGATGATAAACAGGAGTTTTCATTTCGAGTTTTAAATAAAATGTAAACACTGAAAAGGAGTTTTGTACTAAGGCCAGACTTATGCAGAAAAAAATCAATGTGTGCAAATTATATTTAAAAATAAGTATTTTGATTTGTATTTCAACTTTGTTTAGTAAGTGTAACAATATGTTTCACTGAGCACAATTTTTTCTAGCATATGTTTATTATTATCGAATTGTGTCCATAAGAAGGGTTTCAGCAGGTTGTACATTGTGTGAATATTAGTGAAGAACGGGGATGTATTATACAAGGTATGGGGTAATTATTAATTAATATAATTAAACGAAACATTTTTTCTTAGCAAGGCAGTTATTAATTAATTAAAACAAGTTTACAATAACCTACTATTTTCCTTAATTATCTTTACATGATGCTGTTGGACCCAGAAAGGCATAGAGTTTGATGAACATATGATATTTTTAAGATATCATTTGAACTGAATTTCATTGAGATTTATTATCCTGTAACAAAATTATATTTAAGTCGCCTTATCAGGTATTTCGTGAGAACCGTTTCGTTGCTTTCTTTTCGTGTTTTATGAGAAAGGCATATAGTTTGATGAACATAGAATATTTTTAAGATATCATTTGAACTAAATTTCATTGAGATTTATTGTCCATGTAACAAAACTATATTTAAGTCGTTTGATCAGGTATTTCGTGAGAACTGTTTCGTTTCTTCGTATTCGTGTTTTATGATTTATTTTCTGTTTTTCCTATAGTATTTCACATATCAGGCATGTATTCATATATTACCTATATTATCTCTTGCACCGTTTGTTCACGTTCTCTATTGTAAAAACTAATTGTCTGTTAAAATAAACGAAAGGTGTTCGTGCTCCATACTGTTGCTATTTCTGTATTGTTCTTCAGCTGTCTGTGATGAGTTGTATTCTCCGATACAGAAGTTTATTTTTGGTTCATAGTCGCTGAAGGTGCGGTCAACCGGTAGCAAAACGTTCCCCAAAGGAGGCCTTGTTATTGTCTGCCGATTTTCATGTTTTTGAATGATCCAGAATATCCTTTCCATTTCAAGAGTACACATATTTTACATTTAACTCTTTTTGACTTCAAAATCTTCAGTACTTTATACGTGCCATCCTGGAGACTGAATAATATCACTTGTTCGTGAAATATGTACCATATAGTGTCCCTTCAGATCTGCTAGTAAAAAAATAGATTAAAAATTATTTTTTACGAGTTGTCGCGTAGCCGAATACTTTTGATAAGTTTTCGTCCAAAAGGAGTGATGTTTATGGATTTCTGGAGTGTTGTTATATGCATTAATTGGCTTTGGCAAAACTTCAATATAATTGTTTTCATTTTCACTGAAATATTTCAACAGTATAGCACGTAACGTTCTGTTAAACCTTTCCACTACATTTGTTTTATTTCTTTTATCATATCAATCTTGTAAATAAATAAAACCTCACAGAGTATACCATACTTTACTTCAAACGATTTTATGGCTGAAATATGCTAAATGTGAATTTACTTCACAACTTATAAATATATGCAGGACTTCGAAACATTGCTGAGAGTAGCCTAACGTAAGTTTCGTTCTCGCGCTCCGGTGACCTCAAAGTTAGAGCTTCCGCCTCAGATGCGGGAGGTCGCGAGTTCGATCTTCGGTCGAGTCATACCAAAGACAAAAATGGTACTAACAGCTGCCTCGCTTGGCGCTCAGCATTAAGAGATTAGTGTTAGGACTGAACGGGACATCATGCTATATGTCTGGCATGATGCCCCAGTGCTAGACATCACTATAAACGCCACATTGCATACATGATAACGATATGACTGAAATTGTTAAAGCTACGTTAAAAAATCTAATTCGCGTATCAATTTTGTGGCATTGCCAACAACAAGTTTTAAACCGGATGTATTGATTGAAAGAAAACTTGAACAAGTTAACACTGATACCGCAGTCACCGCCAGAAAGGTGTTACCTGTATGTTAAAGCCAGGATGGCAATTGGAAATGCAATATAATATCAATGATCATTGCGACAATAAGAAATTCAGTATGATATCGATATTACTGCAAGAAAAAAAAAAACCAAACAATATCGATGATTACTAATATAGTTCATTTACTGTAATAAAAATGAATACAAACATTCTGATAAAAGCCAAGATTTTTATTCTCCAGCTACATAACTATCTAAAAGAAAGACAATTTTTCTGTTCATTTCACACTCTTACAAAGAAATAACAAAAGTTGCATTAACCTGAATTATTCAACATATGTCGGTAACAAGTTGTAGACCGCGGATAATATTCAACTAAAATAGTATAATACATGTACTAGATTCGGCATGCATAGTATTATACATCAACTGAATATTAATATTCATGAAATATAAACTTTACATAATATTTACAGTCAATGTAGATCCAGCCGTCAAAGAATGTTTTTCGTTTACAAGTGCTTATAACACGTGTATCAACAGATGACGAATGCAAAATATACATACGCACTTCGAGGATAACTCTCATTAAAATTGCAAATTCTTTGATATTATCTGAATTGTGTCGACAAGCAAAATATTGACATACCAACAAAACTGAAGTACATGATGATCACAGCGAAAAGGAACAAATAACAAAAACTCCCAACGTCTAACAAAGAGTACAATTTGATCATAACAAAAACAAAAACAACTCCAACGTCTAACAACGAGTACAATTTGATCATAACAAAAACTCCAACGTCTAACAACGAGTACAATTTGATCATAACAAAAACAAAAACTCCAACGTCTAACAACGAGCACAATTTGATCACAAAGTGACGGCGAGGTTAAAGCTTGAATAAAGTGAATACTTGAGTACACCGTGCGTATTAAAGTATTTATTGAATTCGTTTGTCCATAAGATGACGCATTAACACATATGATCACATGCAAAACTAATCTACTTTAATGACCGATTCATCTACTTTAGTGACTGATTAAATGTCTTAATTGTGAAGATTTATGTACTGGGTTTGTAATTACGGATTTAAACTAAGACATTTAACCTCGACATCGTTTTTCCAGTCAATAATAACAAACAAAAACGTCGTGAACAGCATTAACTAATCAAAGTGCACACCTAATTATCATACATCGACTCATTTTCGTACGGATTTTTTTTTTTGCTTCACTCGACATTAGTTTTCCGCTAACATAAACCGTTCATGAAAATTCAATATGGTTTGACGAATATCGAATGTATGATATCCGAAAAATACCAGTTCAAAAAAATATCGATAAATATAAAGAGTGAAGTTTTGCACCGCTAAATAGTCCGCTCTAGAGAACACTAAAGCGACATAAAGAACAGTTTATCTAATTTTCAGTCTTGCAAATTTTCCAATGGTAAAACGGAAAGCACTATGAAAGGTAATTCAACTGCTTACTGCAGTATCTGTTTTTCTGTGTAATTATATTTGAAATATAAAATTGTCGTGAAATTTTTTGGTCGAGTAAGTGTAAAATGAGAGTTTTGTGAAAATGGTCTTGTACATTACAGGTTCATGCTACAAATAAGTATTAGAAAACCAATTACTTGTCCTTTTGTTAGCTTGAGAAGCAATAGTCCGAGTTTCCTCCGACCCTTGACACCCCATTTTTGATATTTGGTTTTATATGTTGGGGTGTAGGGTCAGAGTCTATTCCCTATCAAAAACTTGGAATTTGCCGACACCATTTGGTACTCGCCAACTATCAAACCTAGCAAACTTAAATGACCTTATATTGACCCATAATTACATTAAATCGATAGTGAAATCATTTATCTTCTCAGAAATTACAAGCATAACACCGATTTTGTCTTTATTCCATTGTGAGACGAGACGTAACTACAGCGTTGATAAATTTTGACCTCGTTCGCACCATTTTCATTGCTAGTCACATGACTAACTAAATCTCAAGGCCGATATGCATAAACGTCATAGGTCAAATAGTCACGTGATAACAACAAAGTGCGTTGACACGTAGTTTCTGGATGATCAGTCAGCCTCTTTCCAGGAAGATCCGACAGCGAAATGTTTCGGGCTGCTGTTATCCCAATTAATATGTTAAATAATACGTGTCTTTTCTTGTTATTGTAGATATTCCGTGACTTTCATTCAATATTTTCGAGTTTGTCTTCTTTCTGCAATACTGGAATGGAAGGCTTGGTTCATAAACCTATATTGCAACATGGCAGGGAAAGACGAATACACATAAGCTCTTGCCAATGAGATACTTTAAGAAAAGGGATACCATTTTAATAGTAAAGAACTACAGTATGATGTAATAAAATCAGTTATCAATGCAGGTGACACATTTGCCGTCTTCCACAATTCCACAAGGGGTATGGGAAAACGCGTTTTTTGTGTGTGGTTGTTGTAATCACGTGACTATTTGACCTGAGATGTTTATGCATATCTGCTGCGAGATTTGGTTAGTCATGTGACTAGCAATGAAAATGGTGCGAACGAGGTCAAAATTCATCCACGCTGTAGTTACGTCTCGTCTGACAACAGATTAAAGACAAAATCGGTGTTATGTTTGTAATTTCTGAGAAGATAAATTATTTCCCTATCGATTTAATGTAATTATGGGTCAATGTAAGGTCAACTAAGTTTGCTAGGTCTGATAGTTGACGAGTACCCTATGCCGACACCAAATGGTGTCGGCAAATTCCAAGTTTTTGATAGGGAATAGACTCTGACCCTACACCCCAACATAAAAAAACCCAAATATCAAAAATGGGGTGTCAGTGGTCAGAGGAAACTCGGACTAGAGAAGCAATAACCAGTCAGTTGAACGTTATTAACTAAAGAGAAAAGCTGTCAACAATCGCAGGGTGCTGATTCTTTTCTTATAACAACATCGTGCATCGTCGTAGAAGCATTTGTTAACATTGTGTTGCTAAAAACATGTCCATTTGGATTGTCCAATTAATCAGTTTTAATCGTTCTAAAGTATTTCATTCATAACTCGATATTTAGCATATTTTAGTAAGGATGAGAAGTAAATAAGGACATCATTTCATACGCCTCTTATAACTCTACTGTTGAGTACAACAGTGCTTAGTACACAAATGTAGATGGATGGTCTCGAAAGGGAGTGCGAGACACGCATGGGTGGGTACGTCACAGGAAGTGCAAACACGTTTGAAGTTGAATCTTTCAAACAAGCTAGGACTAGTCTTTTCAGGTAACCAGGCTCTATTTCTTCCCTTTTAGTGACATTTGAACTATTTTTCATTTGGACTAGGCAATAAATCAATACTTTATAGAATGATTAATGCTGTGAACTAAAAACAACAAAAGAAACAATGAAGTACGATGTAGAAAAGTTAAGGACCAGGTTTAAATCATGTACCTACTCCAGTCGCTGTAAAGAACCTTGAAGTCGATTTAAATATCAGACTAGTCACGTGCCTTCTGCAGTAGCTGAGAAATACATGTACGTTGTAGCGGAGTTAAGACTTAGAAAACAGTCGTATAACTTTTACTCACTTCGCTAACAAGTACGCAGCATTAGAGTTAAAATTCGGACTACTTTCATGTACGAGAGGCATTTGAGAAGTTGTGAATACGTGTTGCTTATCTGAACCATTCAGTAAATAAAATGATGAGCAATACACAAATAAAATGTTCCGTAAACGTCGGACACCTGCAAATATCGGAAAACTATTTTGCCACTGAACAAAGAAAATACGGTAGATGTAGGGTAATCTCCTGAACGATATCACTGTCGACACGGATAAATCTTGCGTAGCAATTCTCCTTCATATCCTACAAATCTGAAGTGGTTTCATCGCTTTACAGATGATCGCACATTCATGGACGATGACCCACGTTCTGTATTAGAATGAACGAGCAGACTAACAGGTCGGACTGTCAACATAATTTTATATGTATTAGCTTTTTATGCAAAAGGCCCTGTCGTCCAGGTATCTGTGTCTGACTGTGTTAGTGGCATAGGATATTTTATGCCTCCACAATTTTGCCAAAAGTTTTGGAACACGGACTAACCACCAAAAAGAACACCACTATGGGAGTTATCCATCTACCCCCATGACAGACACATTGATAGACTTCCTCCATTTCCTCTATAAATCCATGTGACTAATTCTGTGAGATTTGCTGATAGGTATAGGATCTGTGAGACACCAAGCGGCTGAAGTGCAGTCTTCCAGCGTATGAACAACACACCAAAACTGAATAAAAAATGACATTTAAAAAATGTATAATCATACTATGAAAGTGCTTAGAGAGGTACATGGAAAGTACTTAGAAGGGCTGCACTGACACACTGATTCGCTAGCAAATAATTTTATTGTACACCCTACTACTATTCAGAACTTCTGAATACCCCTCATACATGCTTCAACACCATCAAGGTCATTGTAAAAATGACAAACTTGGCAAGTACTTTGAGCTCCGCTGATAAAATTGTCGCATTCATTTACATTGTACAACCCGGCTTATTTTGAAGGTTATATTTATAGTTCCCGACAGTTTAGAACTTTGTTATGGACTCCCTAACCCTTTTAATTTTTGCATAAAGTCTATCACTTGATGATCCGAAGTTCGAAGACGAGTTATCTCCCCCTCTGTTGTCTTGGAAATCAACATCCTCGTAGATTTCGTAATGACCTTG